ATCGCAGCTCTCCTTGCAACGGCGGCGCGAGAGGAGGGGCGGACGAGCGCGGCGAAGAGGCGAAGACGAGCGGCAAGGACGCGGTGGAAGGAGGCGCGGCGTCAGGTGCAGCTGCGGTGGCCGACACGAGCTGAAAGGAGGAGGCGGATCCGACATGCCTGCTCGCGGGTCGACGCTTGCTGCGCGCGCGTCAGGCGGCGGAAGGAGGAAGTGGCGTCGGGGTTGAGCTCGTGACGGCACGGCGAGCACGGAGGTGAAAGCGGTGAGGCAAGACGCGGCGGGAAACGCTACGGGTGAACAGTAACCCATGGCTCTGCACTGTTTTTCTTCTTCGGCCACTGGGTTATCCATTCCCTTTTCCTTTGATTTTCAATGCAAAAACAAACGATGCTCAGGATTAGAGGCTTCGTGCTGATAACGTCTTATGAATATTGTGTATACTATGTTTAAGGTAGAGAAATTATCTTGCTCTATGATGTAGTAGAATGAGGGAAAGAGAATGAAGAAGAGGGGAAGAGAGCAAGCCTCGTCAAGTCTCATTGCAGCATTTTTTCACTCAATTTTGTCTGTGTTAATATACATTAGGGTCCGTTTGGTTTGGGGGTTTGGGCGGGCGGGTTTGGGTTTGAAACCCAACCCGCTGTTTGGTTGACAAAAAGGGAGGGCGGGTTCAAATTGGGGTTTGGGTTTGGAAACCCACCATGCTTGACAGAAGCGGATTCGGGTGGAATGACCGAAAAATGTGTGTTGAGGTTGATAGCTCGGATGTGGCAGAAAAGTGGAACAAGGTTAGCATTCTTTTGGGATTTCAAGATCCGTATCACATTAGCGTTTCAACTTGGCATTATGTGTGACATTGAATTTGGTTTAAATTGTAGCAACACCCATGTCACAAGTACAAGATTGGTGAGCCTTTTCCTGAATATTACAAGTTGGTGGAGATCTATGGAAAAGATCATGCCACTGGTGAAGCGGGTGCTGATATTGGTGATCTTCATAGGAGGGAGGCTGAAAAAGCCAAGGCTGCAAAAGCCAAGGCTACTGCTAGTGTTCAAAGCACTAGTCGTGCAACTGGTGCATCGACCATGGGTTCCAATGCCGGAACCACTGCAGATGTAGGAGATGCTTCCCCTAAAGATACTGCAGGGGATGCTGTTCTGAAAGGGAAGAAGAAGGTGACGGATGCTGATTCATTTGCAAAATGTGCTGGGTCCATGGAGGCGCGGATGGAGTTTGACAGAGTGCAGAATGAAAAATTGTTTGAGGTGCTCTCCAAAAGGAAGAGGATCACTGACCCGGAAAACCAGGCCGAATATGCAAGGATTGAAGCTGAGATGGTACGCATTGGTGTGCCGGACGATGATGTGGTCGATGCCATATTCAACCTCCCTAAGTATCCTGAGTATATCGATGTGTTCTGGGCAGTAAGCGAGAGTAAAAAACTGCGTTTGGCTGCTAAGTTGGCGAGGATGTAGTGTAGTAGGATGGAGATGGTTGTGGATGGAACTATGGTTTAGTGGTTGTTTAGGAAAATCTGCATCTTCGTACTCTTTCATCATGCATTTCTGTTACTGTCAAAACTTAGTACTTGTTAGTTATGTTTGATGGTTGTGGATGGAATTGTGGATGACTTTTGCTTGCTTCATGGTTATGAATTATGAACGACTTTTGCTTACTTCATGGTTGTGTATGGCATTGTGGATTACTTTTGTGGGTATATTGCTTGATGGTTGGATATTTTGTGTTTTCTTTGTAGGTGTTGTGCCATGGGAAAGTACAATTTTTATGTGGTTTTCAACGGGCGTCGTAATGGCATATATGACGATTGGCCATCGGTTAAATTGGCCGTAGATGGATACCCGAATGCCTCATTCAAAGGCTACAAAACGTACGACGAAGCAAAGGTTGCTTATGTCATGAGTCAGGAGAGGTGGGCTCGCGAACACTTTGAAAATGCCAATGCCGAGCAAAGTAATTGTGCTACTACTTGCCTTATGGAGCCCATCGCCGAGCAAAGTGATCGTGCAAAAACCTTCCCGCCCGCCAACCAGGCAGTTGTTGCTCCAACGCGCTATGTTGTTATTGGTATTTTGATTGGTTTCTTCATGGCCATGATCCTTACGAAATGGGTCAACAATGTGTAATTTATATGTTACCGTGGATGTTAAATGTTAAAGGTAGCACTGTTTGATGACAATGTGGTGATGACAATATCGAACGTGTCGTTTGTATTTTTTTCGGGACAATATCTATGTACTGGATGTTTTGACCCTTGGTGGATTGACAATGTGTGAGAGAAACCATAAATGTTATCGGGAGTAATATAAAACAATGGGTTTCATTAACTTTCAAAAAATAATAGAAAAGTAAAAATTAATATAAAAAATTCTGAATTAAATATATTTGCACGTTATCACTCGGAACAAAAAAAAACGTGATTTTATGAATCAAATATAATTTTGCATGTTATGTTTCGAGGAAAACGTGTTTTTATACTTAGAATTTCATTCTACTGTATTAGGGGCAATCTGGTCAAATTATCAAACCCAACCTTAAACCCAACCCTCCAACCAAACACCTATTTTGAAACCCAGCCCAAATCCATGTTGAAATCCAACCCCCAAACCAAACAGCATGGCCTGGGTTTAAAACCCAAACCCAACCCCAACCCTTGGGGTTGGGGTTTGGGTTCCAAACCCTACCCAGCCCAACCCCCAAACCAAACGCACCCTTATATAGAGAAGGAAATACAATGGGAAGATGGCCAAAATACTGGTAGGTAGACATCCATAATAAAAACTCATGTTTTATAACACTTTTTTTTTTATGGCCTCCTATTCTCTCCTCGCTTTCTAAATTGCAACCCCCCAGCCTTTCGGGCCAAAACACCTTACCCGTTCGACCGCCACAGATCCTTCTTTTTTTAAAAAAAAAAAAATTGCATAATAATTAATAAAGCTGTTAAAACTTAAAATTATCGGCCCAAGACCCTTTTTTTTAACCGTGGTAATGACTACTTGAGTCTTATTATATATAACGGATCCTCTCCACGTTGCTACTTTTACGAAACCCAAAATTTACACAAAAACCACATCCCCTTCTTCTTCTCTGCTCTTTCTCTGCGTAACTCCAGTAGTCGGGGAAAATATATTCCGATTCCCCGTGAAAATTCATCGTCGATCTCTCTCACTGACTCGTAAACCGAACACACGAGATTTTGCTCTAACCTTGCCATTCTCTTGCCATTCTTTTCGTAAAACATTACAACTTTGCAGAAACTGTTGAATTTTATACGCTCTCATTCTTCCTCCCATTCCCTCAAATTAGGGTTTGGCTTGAGGTTCTAGGGTTCGTACTGCTATTCCTACAAGTAAGAAGCAGAATCGTAGGGTTCACCCATTCAAAATTGAAGTTGTGACGAGCTGAATTCTCGTAGATTCCTCCTACCCGGTTTGGGTGCCGGGTGTTAGATTGGGTTGGTTGGCACGTATTGGACGCGGTTTGGTCGATTGAAGTGAATTCCAGGGGATGATTATTAAAAGGACTACGAAGCTAGAAATGCCCTGTTTGAAGGGATGCACCGGTGGAGAGGATTGCAGCGAAGACGAGGAGGGCTACGCGTATCGATTTATTCCAAAGAAGCGTAAGATGAGCGGTTACTATAACCCGACTGGGTTGTGTAATGGTATTTCTGATTTTAGCGGTGGTTCCGGTTCTGGGTGCAGCGAGGGACCGTACTGGGAAAACGAGGTGCGGTCCAATTCGAGGCCAGCGAAGGGCGGCCATTCTCGGCCTCCGTTACTCAAGTCTTCGCGAGGTCGAGCCCAGAGACTTCCGTCGAGGTTTAATGATTCTGTTCTTGACGAATCCGGTTCAAATTTAGAGGAAGATGAGTTTTCGGATTGTAGAGATGATTTTGATAGTAATGGGCTTGGTTTTGGTAAACTGGGAAGTGGGGAGGATAAGTTTGGATTTGGGAGACCTAATTCTTCTTATCAGTTTAAAGGTTTTGAGTATAGAAATTGTGGCACAAAGTATTTGAGTACTCGTAAGGTAATAATAGATGAAGATTATGTGCCGGGTTATGGGTATGCGAGTGTGGATAAATTGAGAAGAGGAAGGAAGTGTATAAGCCGGAGGATTTTGCTGTGGGGGATATCGTTTGGGTTAAATGTGGGAAGAGATACCCGTGGTGGCCGGCTGTGGTGATTGATCCGATTCTGAATGCTCCAGAGGCGGTTCTAAGTTGTTGCGTTCCTGGTGCTATCTGTTTGATGTTTTACGGGTACTCAAAGAATGGGACGCAACGGGTATCTATATCTTTCCCAGTTGTGTTTCGTTTGTTTTTCTTTTTCCGGTTTTACTTGCTTGTTCACTGGCGTTATATATTGTGCAGGACTATGCGTGGGTGAAGCAGGGGATGATTTTCCCTTTTGCAGAATTCATGGACAGGTTTGTGGATGGTTGTATCGCCTATTCTGATGTTACTCACTCATATGCCGAGTAGGGCGTGCAATCTGACGATGTCTATTCCTTCAGATTTCAGGGGCAAACGGAAATGTATAAGTACAAACTAAGTGACTTTCAGATGGCGCTGGAGGAGGCAATTTTAGCAGAAAGTGGGTTGCTGGAGACAAACAGTTGTACTGTACAGACCGAATACCCGGAAACGTACCTCAATGGACTCCAGGAGGATCGAGATCTTTATGCCCAGAACCAGGTAAGTTTATCCTTAGCCATGCGTTCTCTCTCCTTTCTTTCTCGTTCTGGTTGATTATTCTAATGCTTCTACTCAGCATGAATGTGATGACATCCACATTTGCTTGCCATAAAAAAATAGAAGCAACTTTTTGTCTATGCCTCTAATGCTGTTAGATGTGCGTGCTTGGGCAATTCTTAGGAATTATTTCTTCTATGTTTTTTATTTAGTACAACGGAATATTAGAAATATCCACAACCGCAAACCCCAAACCACCCTAAATCCCACAACCACCCTAAATCCCACCTGTTGGGATTTGAACCGATGACTCCTTAGAACCCAATCCAAGGGAGATACCACTACACCACAGGTAGCATTGGCCTTCTCTTCTATGTTCTAAACATCCAAATGGCATAAATGTTTTGGACTCGCACAACCCAAATGGCTTAATTTGTGCTTGGTCTACAATTCTTTGATGATTTATGTGTAATGCTCTTGTGAATGTCTTTTGAAAGTTGTTCTGGCTGACTTTGTATATTTTTGCCATTTTCTTCAGCTAATCTGGATATTTAGTTGTCAGAATGCATTCAATTATTTCTCTTTTCCAGGGTGCCTGCCACCAAGACTTGAGATGCTGTGATGGCTGTAATCTAATTTTACCATGTAAAACTATGAAGAGAAGGAATGGATCAACATTTCAAATTGAGCTGTTATGCAAACATTGTTTTAAGGTGATAAATGGTTTAAACATGCTACTTATTCATTCTATAAGTTACTTTTGCCTGTGAAAGTAATATTTGCGTTCATCTTTGTTACAGTTAAGAAAATCAATACAGTATTGTGGCATATGCAAGAAGACATGGCACCATTCAGATGGTGGGAGTTGGGTGAGATTTCTATTAACTTGATCTAGGTTAAAATTTTTCAGTTGAAGCATACCAGAGATTGTTGGGCTTATATACTTTCTGGGTTAGGTATGTTGTGATGGTTGTAATGTCTGGGTGCATGCGGAGTGCGACAACATTTCTGGAAAACTTTTGAAGGTGTGTCTACCATACTTCACTTACACTCTAATCTCTTATCTTTCCTTTTAGTGTAATTAATGGAAGGTCGAGACTAACTGATGTATTGTAATATCATTTGAAGGATTTGGATTGTAATATCATTTGAAGGATTTGGAGCATATTGATTACTTTTGCCCAGATTGCAAGCTAAAGTTCAAACTTCAATCACAACATGTAGAGAGAAGGAAACCCCCGGCGAAGTATGTTACTTAATTCTTTTATTTATTCACAGGCACTTTCAGAGTTACTATACATGTGCTGTGGTATCCTCACGTAGCTTAATCATTATCACCTGAATTGAACCAGATCAATAACAAAAAATGGACAATCTGTTCCTGCTGACAAGTTGACAGTGGTCTGCAATGGGATGGAAGGGACATATTTTCCCAAACTTTATTTGCAAGTCCTCAAAACTTGGAGAGAAGCTTTGGTTAAGATAGGCTAAAATTTCTCCTTCTTTCTTCCTTTCCTAGAGGTTGTTCATTAAGGTCTTGGCCTTCTGAAGACCATTATGCTCTTTTTTGTCCTGCAGTCTTCATATATATATATATATATATGTATGTATGTATAAATGTATAGCCAGCTTCTATATACTTTCAAGCATTAAATTTAATCTTTATCTATTGCGATTTATCAGAAGTATCTTAGAATTTCAAGGCAGGTAATTTCTATGACGCTTGCAATTGTGTTTCTGCAATGTGAAATTGATTTTGTTTGAATTGTAAGCTGACATATGAGCTGTTCATCTGTTCTTATTTTTATTACCATTGACCTGTATTGTTGTTTCTCTGTTTCTAGAATTAAGTGCAAGTGTGGTGCATGTGGCTCTCGGGAGGCACACTGGATGCAGAGCAAAAAAGTGGAAAACCACTATCAAGGTCAAGGGCACAATGTTACCCCTGGAAAAATGGGTTCGTTCTTGTGCCTGTCATTCTGGATTGCATTTCTTTAAGTTCTCCTTTTCCAAATTAGTGGCTTTTGCATATAAGACTTGAAAAAAGTTTGAAAATATATAACCTCAGCTTAAATTGAATCAAATTAAATGGCATCTAGCTGTTTCTACAGTTAGGGTGAGAAATTTCTGCTGATGTTTTTCCATTTACTCTGATGCAATGTAAGTGCCTCATCCATTGCTTTGCCATGATAAAAGAATGCTTTTAAGGAAACTAATGGAAATTGCTAGTAAATAATTGGGTTTGTGTCAGTAGCTGAAGCTGATTATAATTTTAGTATGTTAATAAAGGAGGCTATGAGCACATGCATATCAATCTTTGTGATGCTTATGCACTGCTGGTGTGATTTATTTTCTCCATGGTTGTGAAGACTTATTGTGATGGTTTTCCTTTTTAGTTTTAGTATTTGTGGGTCATGGTGTATAACATCTATGGTTTCTGTGCAATTTTATCTTAATGTGTAAAGACCTGCAGATTGCTGAATGTAATTCTCATGGTGTGGACACACTGAAGTTGGATAAGGAAAAACTTCTTACATTTTTGCAAGGTACTGTTGTAAATCTCTTGAACTTGTTGAGGGCTCACAGTTACTTTTATCACTTTTAATCGTGGGGGAGTGAGGATAAATAAGGTATTGCTAGACTGTCACTGAAAACTGGGAATTCTTATTTCATTGCAACAGCAAAGTATGAGCCTGTAAATGCAAAATGGACAACGGAAAGATGTGCTGTCTGCAGATGGGTTGAAGACTGGGATTATAACAAAATTATAATCTGCAACAAGTAGTTTCCCTCCTATCCCTCTACCCCACCACACTATATACCAATATTCTTATCCTTGTTTACTTTCAGGTGTCAGATAGCTGTCCACCAAGAATGCTATGGGGTATGTGATGTTCAAGATTTTACTTCTTGGGTTTGCAGAGCTTGTGAAACCCCTGACGTTGAGAGAGAGTGCTGCCTCTGTACAGTAAAAGGCACGTCTATTTTGGACTTATTCAGTTTTTGAATTTTGAGATTTGGCATTGGTCATTAAAAGTTCGGACTAATGCCACGTTTGGTCCCTGTGTTGCCCCTAAATTTTGGATTTCGTCCGTGTTGAGATTCGATCGTTTTTCATCCCTCTGTTGGCTCCGTTTTACATGTTTTGGTCTGAGGCCCCGGAATCTGGCAGCTGGTGCTGACGTGGCATGCTTTCTGGCTCCACATCAGCATATGTGGGACCCGCGTGTCAGGTCAAGCCAACAAACCGGAACGGCCCGACCCCGAATGGTTCCCCCACCTAAAAGACCCATCCAACCAAACCAAAATAAAATAATTGTAGTATGGTTGGATAATTGATTCTGTGGAATTAGTTCTTTTCTTTGCCATCTAATATTGATTTCTGCCGTCTTTCAAGTGGTTATGAGCATAAAATTGCTTCTGTTTGAATGCTTACGTATAAGAGCAAAATTTTCAGGAGGTGCTCTGAAGCCAACTGATGTGGATCCTCTTTGGGTTTATGTCATATGTGCTTGGTTTCAACCTGAAATTGGATTCTTGAATCATGAGAAAATGGAACCTGCTACTGGAATCTTCCGTGTTCCATCCACTTTACTTTCAAAGGTATGTTATACTAGGCAATCACCTAAGAATTATATATTTTTGCCATTCAGTCAAAGATTTGGTTGTCTTCCTTACACAACAATACTACTGTTTGGCTCCTTGTGAGAGAGATTATTTGTTATGTGAAGCAGTAAATCCCATAATTAGTTTTCTACGTGTTTTTTCATATGTTACTTTCTGTTTACTCTGATGATAGATTTGCTAAAGTTGCGAAAAGTAAATGCTTTTGAACTTTTTGTATTTTAATTGCTTGGATTGCAGGGTTGTGTTATATGCAAGCAGACTCATGGTTCATGTGCTCAATGTTGCAAGTGTTCCACCTATTTTCATGTAACCTGTGCACTAAGAGCAGGATATTTTGTGGAAGTAAGTCTTTTCTAACTTTTTGACTCATGATTTTAATATTTGTTTCTGGTATCCTTGTTTTTACTGCTAGATTATGACCTTTTCCTTATGCTTCTTAATCTTCTAAAAATCATTCTTATGATAATAAAGCATGGACTTGTACTACGTGGATATTTCATGGACCCTATATGTTTGAACATTCAGTTGCACTGCACAGAGAAGGATGGAATTCAATTTACAAAGAAGTTGATATATTGTGCTTCTCACAGGTCAGAACTGCTTCTCGCCTGTCTACCTTCCTCGTTTTTGTATTGTACTTCTGGTCTGTATGTTGTTGAATATTATTAACTTCATTGTGTTATAGGACCCCAAGCCCAGATTCTGTTGTGGTTATCCGTACTTCTTCCAGAGTTTTTGCTGCCAGGAGCTTGCTTCCGAATCAGAAAGAGTGCTTCAAGGGTTCACGGTTGATTTCATCTAAGAGAATGGAACTTTCGGAACCCACAAACTCGGAAAATAATGAGTTGGTGCCTCACTCTGCCGCGAGGTGCCATGATTATAGACGATCAGGCAATATGGTGATTCATCTAGGAACTTTAGACTTCTTTTTCTTTTGCCTTCTCCCTATGAATACGCTATACTTGCGATGAATTTGAGTTGGCGTTCATTCAGACCAAGTCCAATCTTTTTTTTTTGTCTCGGTCTCATTGTTATCTTTTCTTTTCCCCAGATGGCTGAAAAGAAGCCTGTATGCCACCGACTGACGGGATCAAGACATCATCCGCTTGATGCCATAGCTTGCTTAAATACACAAAAAGTACTATTCCTGCCTTCATTTCTGTGGAAATTTTTTATTCATTTCAGATATCTCTGATGACTGAAGCCAAAAAGAGTTAATATTGTCATGGTGCATTCTGTTCTTTTGGTTCTTGTGTTTGTATCCGTAACTGATTAATACATTCGTTGGCAGGATACAGAAGATTCCAGGGTTTTCTCTTCATTTAAAGAACGACTTTATCATTTACAGGTGAAGTACAACTCTTTTAGAGCATGATTGTTGGAATCCCATTCTCACTAAGGATTCTTGGGGTTCCGGAGGATCCAGCTACAGGAAAACCAGGAATGGGGAGCCCCCTTTTCCGCCCTTTTCAACCTGATTTTGTTTTGAGTCTAACTTGGTATGCTTTTATGCCTTCAGAAAACTGAATGTTATCGGGTTTGTTTTGGCAAATCTGGTATTCATGGATGGGTACTTTTTGCACGCTGCAATATTCAAGATGGGGAAATGGTACTTCATTTATATATCTCTGCTTTTATCTATTTAGCAAACTTTGTAAAATGTTTCTCTAGCCTGGACCTTGAATGCAGCAAATGAATCAGACCTCAGTGGCATACAGAGACTAGTGCT